CCTGGCCAAAACAAGTCCCTCTATGTGCATCTCTGATCTGATTCCTTCCCTGCATTCTCCTGTAGATAGCCCCCTCAGTAAATTTCTGGTCTCTAATCTTCAGTCTCTATCTATTGAGTGCTTCTTTGCTGCCTACAAGCTTGCCCTTGTCTCCCCCATTTAAAAACAAAAACAAAAAACAAAAAACCCCAAACCCAACAATGAGCAACAAAATTGCTTGACTTCTCAAGAGGGGGGGAGAGGAGGGAGGAAGGAAGAGAATTTGAAACTCAAAGTATATCCTACTTTATCCTACCACCCCAGTTAGCTTTCATCCTATCTCCTCTATTTTTTGGCTAACAACCTTTAGAAAGCTATTTACAACTGGTGCCTCCACTTTCTCTTTTCTCCTTCTCTTGTTTTTTCTTTTTTCAATGATAAATTTTTATTTTTCAATCTTTAAAAGTTCTTAGATTCTTGAACTGGTGGTTCATAGACATCAGCCCTTTCCACTTTTGTGCCCATTTCATCTCCTGAAGGTTTTCCAGAGCCACCACCTTCACCATGCAGTTCCATTAGCTTTCCCAATTCAAATTTGGGCTTCTTGAGCATCTTGACTTTCAGACAAATACATCATGGAGAGGGTAAATGGACTGGCAAGCCTTTTCTATGTCTTTTCCAATGCTGTCTGGAATTAGTTTATTGACAGCTTCTTTCAAGTCATTTGTCTGCACCTCTTGGGTCATGATTTCCATCATTTTCTTACGAATTTGACGGACCTGTTGGTGCTGGACATAAGAGGTCTTACAGATCTGGCTGTTGCGCTTTTTGGTAAAACCAACACAAAAGAGGCGGAGCAAGTAACCATCGGGAGTTTTGACATCAACATAGGCTTCAATCATGGTCTGCCACTTTTTGACCATGGAGTATATCTTGTCCCGAGTAAGTTCTATTCCATGGAAATTAGTCAAACAATTTTTACCCTGAACATCTTCAGTAATTAACTTGAATTTACGAAAATCAACCTCATCATTCTGCAGATCGGCAAGACTCACTTCAAAGACTTGACCCTTGAGACCATCAGAGGCAATTTTTGTTCCTTGGGTCCTTGTAACCAGTGTCTTGCCAATATTTCGAATGTTGAACAGAGCTGGTGCTTTTACATCATACCAATCCTTCTTTGAAAATGGATCAATTACTTTCTTCTTGGCTCCTTTTTTGCCATCTTTGGCGAGGCGCCTGTTCTTGTCCACCACCATGATCCGGCTCTGAAAGCCAAAAGGCGGAAGATGCAGCTCGCACAGACTATAGGAAGCTGAGGCAGGGCTCGTCTTCGGCGTTTCCTCGGGCATGCCCACCACGCGTTTTTTTTTTCCTTCTCCCCGTCTAACCCTCTCTAGTCTTTTTTTTTTTCCTTCTCCCCGTCTAACCCTCTCTAGTCTAGCTTCCAACTTCATCATTCAACTGAAACGCCTCTCTCCCAAGTGATCAATGACTTCATAATTGCCAAATTTAATGGCCTTTTCTCAATAACCTCTCTGCAGCCTATGACACTACTAATCACCCTCCTGAATTTTTTCTCTTCTGAAGGTTTCTGAAGTGAAGACACCACTGTCTCTTTGTTCTTCTCCTACCTGGCAGTCAATAAACATTTATTAAACACCTATTATATGTACCAGAAACTGTGCTAGGTGCTGAAGACACAAATATAAATAAAAAGTTAGTTCCAGCCCTAAAGGAGCTTAAAATCTAATGGGAGAAGGCAACACACAAAAAGAATTTGAAAAACAGGACTTTGGGGGAAGGTACCTGACTCAAGGGCATGACGGAGAAGTCCAAAAGCAGTTTAGCTGGTGGGAAATGGAGAGAAGACTGGGCACCCTCTTTTTTTTTTTTTGGTGAGGCAATTGGGGTTAAGTGCCCAGGGTCACAAGTTAGTAAATGTCAAGTGTCTGAGGTCACATTTGAACTCAGGTCCTCCTAATTCCAAGGCCAGAGCTCTATCCACTCTGCCACCCAGCTGCCCCTAAGTACCCTCCTTAAATGGAGGTTTTGGAGCTCATGGGGTCTGCCCTACAGTCAGAGGGTCCAATCAGAGGGGCAAAGGGTATTGATGAGATGGGAGTGCCAAGGCTGATTCTGTCTTGCAAGATAATGAGAGTTCCCAACGATGAGTTTCCTGGGGCATGCATGCATGATGAAGTCCAAAAGTAGCATAGCTGGTAGGAGATGGGGTTTGGAAGTTCCTTCTCAGGCTCCTTTGCTGGTTCTTCATCCTGTTCATTAGTAAATCATGGGTGTCCCTTCCACAAGGATGTCTGGGGAACTCTTCTCCCTCCTATTTACCTGGTTGATCTCATCAGCTCCCATGTGTTCAGTAATTATCTTTATACAGATGAATTGTTGATCTATATATTTAGTTCTAGCTTTTCTCCTGACCTTCAGTCTCAAATTATCAGTTGCTTCTGACATCCCAACATTGATGTCCTAAAGGTATCTCCAAGTCAATACATCCAAAACTGAACTCATTATATTTCTCCTAAAACCCTCTTCTCTTCCCAACTTTTAAGAGCACCACCAACCTCTGCCCAGTCACCCACAGTCTCAACTTTGTGTCATCCTCAAATCCTCCCTTGTACTTACTTCACTGCTAAGTCTTGTCTTTTCTACCTTCAGGACATCTCTTTTATATGTCCCTTTCTCTTCATTCATACAACTTTTCATCAACTATACTTGGGGTCTTCTGGTTAGTCTTCCTGACTCCTCTCTCCCCACTCCATCCCATTTTCTACTCAGCAGTCAAACTGATCTTAAAGTATAGGTCTGACCATGCCACTTCCCTACCCACTATCTAATAAACTCTTAGTATCTCCCTATTGCCTCCAGGATCCAAAAAACAAAACAAAACAAAACCCTTCTGTTTAGCTGTTAAAACCTTTCACAACCTGGCCCCTTCCTACCTCTCCAGCCTTCTCATACTTTACTCCCCTCCATGTCTTCTGTGATCCAGTGACCCTGGCATTTTTGCTGTTCCTCGTACAGGTCTCCATGCCTGGAATGCTCTACTTCCATTTCATGTCCTCTTCCTCCTCACTGTCTACCTTGTTTTCCTTGCTCCCTTCAAGACTTAGCTCAAATTCCACTTTCTTTAAGAGGCCTTTTTTGGGTCCCCTGCCTAGTAGTAGTGGCTTTCCTATGGTTTCTGTATCTTGTATGTATATTGTAATGTGTCTTTTGCCTATTCCATCATAATGTGAGCTCCATGAGAATAAACAATTGTTGGTTGATTATATATGAAAATATTCTCTTTTTCTTTTTGGTGTTTGTTAAATTCTGAATAAAAAATTTTTTAAAGCATCTATTCATTTTTACATCCCAGAATTCTGTCCAGGACTGTCTCTTCTCCCTTTGCATGAGGATTCTTAGCCTGATAGCCACACATCCACAGACCCACAGACCCATAGCCCCATACACTGGCAAGGAGTTGGTTGATCAATTTCAGGGCATTTGTGATGTGGATGAGAAATAAAATTTACACCTTTATTTTCATTGACCTCTCATCCAAATTTACCATTTTCTTCTGTTATGGGTGTAAGGCAACAAACACTCTTCTGAGAAGGGGTCCATAGACTCCACCAGACAGTCTAAGGCAGGGGTGGGGAACCTGGGGCCTCAAGGCCCCACCTGGCCCTCTAGGTCCTCAAGTGCAGCCCTTTGACTGAGTCCAAACAAAAGGCAGCACTTGAGGACCCTATAATAGGTTAATCTCTAATATCCTTTCCTGGAATTCTTGTAGGATCCTACCAGTCCTTAACACACTCATACAGCTTTTTTTTTTCAATAGAGAGAATAAAATTTGGAGGAAGGCTAGATTAATTTCTTGTTTTAGGAAATGATGCATAGAATAGTATTATCATAAACATCAATCCTAAGGGTACAACTACATATTTTATTTCTTTCTCTTTCGCCACATTTCCAAGCCATATCGATTGTTTTCAAAATCTCACCCATCTTCAATTTTTCTTTCCCTTTCTTCTCTCAACCCTGGACTACCGAAATAGCAAATAATATAGGTCTTTCATAGTTTTTTTTCCAACCCAAATGAATTCCTAAACGGTTTTCCTCTCTTCCACTGTTTCCTGCAAGCTCTGCCAGATTTCACCTTCCTAGAGGAATAGTGCAGGGAAAGCAAGCCTATGAGGGAACATAATTAGAGACAGAAGAAAGAAGGTCCCTTGACACCAGGGTTTTTAGAAGATGTGGGCAGTACTCAAGGATTGGCAGACTTTTTTTTCTTTTAAACACTTTTACGTTAACATGTATTCGGGTTTTTTTTTCTTTCTTTTCTTTCCCCCTAGTGAAAATACAACATTCAATTGTTAGTGTAAATGAGGAGGAAGAATGAGGAGTAAAGGAAGGGGGTTGGGGAGGGGTCAAGCAATGAGGAAACCGTGGCAATGGTAAGACGTGGAGGATGCGAAGGCAAAAGCAGCATGCAAAACCAAATGCCGCATGCATGCAAATACTCGAACCACTTTCTTTTTCTTTAACTGCAGCGGGTGTGGGACTGGAAGGGAAATGGAGATACTTGGGTGTTAAGTAAAAGAGGCCTCAGATGCTACGAGATTCCCGAATTATAAACGTAAACATTTATCTTCTAATTGCAAATAAATAGGAAACGAAGGCGGTGCCACGTGTCGGACCTTCTTCCCTTTCACAGGCCTTCACGCAGACCCTAAGCTGTATCGCTGGCAGCAGGGCCGGAAACTCGAACCTTGGCGGAGGGGGGGAGAGATGATAACAGAGTCTCCCCTCCCCTTCCCCACACCTCCGACTCCGAGCAGCGGCAGGCCAGGCGCCCGCACAGCGCGCCTCCACAGCTGCAGCTCCCGCCGCCCACAGCGCCCACCCCTCCCGCCTCCCGCCTCGGAAGTGACGCAATGGATCCCCCCTCCCCCCTCCGCTAGATCCGCTGCTGCTAGTGCTGCTGCTGCTGCTGCGGACCGAGCTGCTGTAAGGTGGCCGCGGCGGCGGCGGCGGCAGCCGAGGGAAAATGGCGGACGGTGTGGATCACATAGATATTTACGCGGATGTGGGCGAGGAGTTCAACCAGGTACGTGCGGCCCACCCCCCCCCCCCCGGAGGCCCGCGCGGCCGAAGCGGGCTGCGCGCAGGCCGGCGGGGCCGGGGCCGGGGCCGGGCCCTCCCGCTGTGGGAGCTGCACCTTGGCCAGCTCTCGGGCCGCCCCGCTCCCGGCCTCCCTCTCCCGCTCTCTCCCCACCCTTCCCTTCCTTTCTCCCCGCGTCGCCCTCTAGGCTTGCTCGGCTCCGGCTCCTCCTTCTCCGCCTCCCCATTGTGGGTGACGCCCGGGTCCCGGGGCTTCCCGCCTCGGCGTAGGCCCCGAGCGGCGGCGGCGGCGGCGGCAGCGGGGCCGGGCCTCGTGTGCGCCGGGGGCGGGGGCAGCGGCAGGGGCAGGACGGCCGGGGCCCGCCCTCCTGCTTGGCCCGGCCCGGTTGGGCTCGGCTCGGCCCGGCCCGGCCCGGCCTTGCGGAGGGACCTTCTCGGCTCCCGCCCCGGCCCTCCCTCTTCTCCTATCCTCTCGCCTCATGGAAGCCTCCGTTTCGCGGCCCTTTGTGCCCCCTCGCGCCTCGCTCTTCCGGATCCTGCCTGCTGCTTGGGCCGCGGGTCCCTCTGCCAGCGCCGCTTCCCCGGGCGCGAGGCCCCGAAGCCTGGCCGCCGCCGTGCTGGGGCCTGGTCGGGGCGGGGGGGGAATGCCTTCTGCACACCTGAAGGACCGGGCGCGCCAATCGGACGCCGAGCGAGAACGGGCCTCAGCATCCCTTCCCAATATACAAATCCACTATCCGTGTCAATCCATACGCTGTAATTCGAAATTAAAATGTCCACCCCGACCTCCTCTGTTTGCATGCACCGCGTCCATTGACGCCGCTCGGTCCTGGAGGCTTTGTGGTCGCCAGTCCCCTCAAACCCCCCCCCCCCGCTTCGGAGCCCGGTTCTTCCAGCGTTTGAGTGGTGGGTTGGCGCCCACCCTGCAGGAGAGGGGTGCGGGAGCCCCGGGACAGGAAACATTTGTTAAAAAAATTTCATTTTCTTTTCTTTTCTTACGCATTTATTAAGCGCCTGCTCCGCTCCACAGGCTTTGTGGCTTAGCGCTTGGGGGAAATACAAAGAAAGGCCAAGGCCAAGGCGGGGGAAGGTTCCTGCCCTCGAGGAGTCTCCCAATCTCCCTGGTCCCGAGTCTCCTCTTCCGGAAGAACCTAGGTTCTGATTCTGAGGGATGGGCATTCTTTTGCAAAACGTCTGCCCTGCTGTTGGAACGGGGAGCCGGGAGGATGCCCCCGGGAAGGGAGCACCCACTTGGGAGGGCGGCCCGGGGTGGCTCGGGGTCTCTCTTCGCTTAGGCTGGGAGCTCCTGGGGGGAGGAGGGCGGTCTTTTGCTTCTAGGCCTGGCTTCATAAATGCTTATTGAAGGAAATACCCAAAAGGGGGCAAAAAAAAAAAAAGCAGCCCCTGCCCTCAAGGAGCTTCTATCTAAACGGGAGACAACTTGCAAACAAGATAAAGGATCACTGCGGGAAGGCTAGCTAGCTAGCTTGGAGGGGTCCCGGAAAACCTTGTAGGGGGGGGGCGGTGAGCGTTAGTTGAAACCTGAAATAAGCCTGGCGGTGGATATGGTATTTTACTCACTAACACATGTTTGGGATGGGGGGAAGTTTTTATTTTTTAAAAAAGGAAGGCTTCTTTTGGAAGGTGGGGTTTCAGTTGAAATTTGGAAGAAGCCAGGAGGTAGATACTGTGTTTTTGTTCATAACACATATTGGGGGAGGATTTTTGTTTTGTTTTGTTTCTTGTTTTTAAAGAAAGATTTTTTGGTGGAAGATGGGATTTTAATTGGAACTTGAAAGAAGTCGGGAGGTGGATTAATGTGTTTTGCTCATTTTGGGGGATGGTGGTGGGATTTTTTTGTTTGTTTTAACAGTTTTTTAAAGAAAGGCTTCTTTTGGAAAGTGGGATTTTAGTTGAAACTTGGAAGACAGGAGATGGTTGTGTTTTGTTCAATAGCGCATATTGGGGAAGGGGTTGTAGGGGCTTGGGTTTTTGAGGGGCAGGGGGATGGTTTTTTTTCCTTGGGTATTTTTAAAGGACTTCTTGTAGAACGTGGAGTTTAGTAGAAATTTGGAGGAAGCCAGGAGGCGGATAATTTTGCTCTGTAACATGTATTGGGGAGGGAGGTTATTGATGCTTGTTGTTTTTAATCCCAAACTCTACAGAAATTTAATACGTGATGAGTTTATTTTTCCTGTCTCTGGGAGAAAGGAACTTTACTTCCACACATCCCTGTTTGTTGATTTTTTAAAAAAATCCGGATAATTGTGTTAATTGATACAAATCAGATTTGTTTTTTCCTAAAGATTTGTTTACTTTTTGTGTACCTTGGGGTAGTGTTGTAGGAAAGACAAAATCACTACGTTTTCCTGTTCTTTTTAAACTTCAAAAAATGTTTTAAATTTTAAGCCGTAAATGGTTAAAGTGTCTTAAGATGAAAAATATTTTAGATATTTGTGGTCTGTATTTCAAGCCCATCAGGCTCAAAGTTTATATCAGTTAAGTGTCTTTAAGATATTAATAAGAATACAACTTTCTAGTATCACAAAAAATAGGATGCCAAAGCTTTTTTGGATCCTCTAATTCTTTTATATGCACACATACGTGTAATAATTTTTTAAAATACGTGTAATGTCAATATGGCAAGTTATCCTCAAAGGTAATGCCAATTAAATGTCTTTAAACTATTAATGAGAATACCATATTTGAGTAGCATAAAAAATAGGATAACCAAACTTTTTTAAAAAAATATTCTAGTTCAGGTGTTCTTAACCTTTTTGTGTCATAGACCCCAGTAATGTTTGTAGTGTTTCTATTGAAAGTTCATTGTACTTAAGGTTATGCCATATAAGTGTCTTTAAACTCTTAGTAAGCACACAACACTGAAGTACCACATAAAAATAGAATACCAAAGCTTATTTTAGGATCTTCTAGTTCTTTTTACATGCATATTTGCAGTGTTTATTACAAACCTATTCTGCTTAAACATTATGCCATTAAACTGTTAGTAAGAATACAACATCTTTGAAGTATCACACAAAAATAACACATCGAAGCTTTTTTTAGGATTTTTGATGCATAACTACAGCTAGCAGATAGTTTCTTCCAAAAGAAAGCAATGCTATGTATTTTCTGAGTCCTGGGTATGCTTTAGGACTGGAGGCCAGGATGAATATAATCTTTATTCACTTTTCCTTACAGGAGTTTCTGTCCTTGGCTTTGAGCTCCCTCCCCACAGAGGAGGCATACTTGGGGCATCATTTAGTGGCCAAGTCTTTTTTCAGTTTTCTTCACTTCTCAGAAATGCTTCAAGGCTGTTGCAGACTTGATCCTGGAGGGATGTTTCCTTTGTTTGTAATGCCATTTGGTACTGTAATTATGTTCATTATCTTCCTGCAGCCTGGGTGAGAGAAATTTTGTGGGTTTCATTTACTACTTTTACAATCAACTTTTTTTTTATTCAGAATTTTTCTTTAATGTCTACCAGGTAGCCTACATTCAAATGATTTTGCTAATGTCATTTGTAGACATTCAAATTGATGAAATCAGATAGTACTGTTTTTGTTTGTAGTTTGGTTAAATCATAGCTTTGATTTTATATTCTGGATATCACTGACCTCTGCTGTTTTTACACCCTCATCTTCGTGATCCTGTACTTTTAAAGTGTATGGTGTTTGAATGTACCGAGAGATAATTCTGTATTTACTATGTAATTATGTTCTGTTAAAATTTAAGTGAATTTTTATATGTATTTACAAAAGGAATAATCATGCATATATATGTATATATGATTTTTTTTTAAGAAGTCAAGCTAGACCATTTCTTATTAATGTAATGTGCTTTGAGGGTAGGATGAAGAGAATTCTTTCATTGACCAGATGAATTTGAGAGTGGTGAGGAAAGATGAGGGAGGGAAAAAAGCACAAGGGACTCTGCTGTTTTGTGTGGGGGTATTCTTGGTGTCTTTAGTTGGAGGTCCCTAGATTCCATCAAATTGGGAACAGTTACTCTTTTGAAGGCAGTCATTTGGGCTTTTCTTTTTGCAGTGCTACTTTCTACTTTCGTCCTCTTTCCCCCCCCCCTTCACCATACACATGCACTGTGTTTAGGTTTGGGAAGAGAACAGCATTAGAATCCTAGCTGCTAAAGCAGTTTCAGTCCATGCCAGGATTTATACTTATTTATTTTTTAATTTTATAATTAAGCGTCTTGACTCATTTCTTTTTTCTTTTTCCTCCACTACTTAAAAATCAACCCTGTTTGATGTGTCGAAAAGTAGACATCTTGATGTTAATTGTGAAGTATATAGTCACAGGTTCATAGACTGGGAAAAGACCTTGGAGACCAGAGTCCAGCACCCTCATTTTGCAGATGAGGAAACTAAAGTACAGAAAAGTAGAGACATACTAAGTGTCTGAAGTAAGATTTGAACCTGGATCTTCTGACTTTAATAGGCTCTAATGTGAAACTAGCTTTTTTTTGTTTGTTTACATGGGACTATGTGAGTTCTCTGATCTTAGGGACCCAATTTGCAGCCTTGAAAAGAAAATCATTATTTAGCTAGTAATTAGAAAAATTATCTTCCTCACTTTTATTTCATAGTGTGGGACTACTTTGCCTCTTTCATTTACCCAACAAGCGTCATGTTATTTTTTAGCTGATGGAAGTTAAGTTTTCCATCATGTATTTAACCATTATTGTTTTACAATTAAATTGCTTGTTCTTAATATTTTTATTGCATGAGATAGGTTTATTCTTGTTGGACTTATTGTTCCTAGAAGATAAAGTGAGAATTTCAGCTCAATTTGTAAGAACGACAATGTTACTTGGGCTAAGGTTTATGCATTGAAAGCTATGTAGGAGAGCTTGTGCACAAAAACTGTTACTAATTCTTTCTTGTTCATCTATTTTTTTCCCCCAAAGTACATCTGTGTTATCACTGACTTGTCTATTGTTTTGTGGTGAATTTTTAGTAACAAACTCATTACTTCTTACCTTTAAGTTGGTGTATTTGCAAGGATTGAAAGTGAATTTCAGTTTCTGTAGTCAGAGCATAGTTGGAAAGGTAAAAGTCATAATGTATTCCGAAGCTAAATACAAATCATTCTTTTACTGGATATTTTAAGTTATCCATGCTGTCATGCAAGCTTTATGGGGTAAAGGACAGTGTACTCATAATATAGTGGAAAAGCATTGTACCATGAAGAAAACCTGGGTTCAAGTTCAGCTTCACCATTTATTTAGAAGCATGTGACCTTGGGCAAGTTACTGAATCTCTTGTGAGCCTGGTTTTCCCATCTCTAACCAAACTCAGAGGATTGTTGTGATGATCAAATGACACCTGGGTAGAACTTGCTTTTAACTATGAAATGTCATATAAATGTAAGCTATTTTAAAAAAATGTATTCTCTCTAATGAGTGACTACATTAAATTCTTTTATTTTAGAATTCCCTGGTTTTTCTTTTCTTAATTAACTTAAATTTTTTTTTTTAGCTGCAGGCCAGTTGTTTCAAACAGTTTGTATGTCCTTGGGACAGTTGGTTTTATTTTGCCTTTATGGATGGTTGAATGAAAGATCAGAGGAAAATAGAAGAGTGAGCATTAACCAGAGTGGCAGGATCACCAAGAACAGTGTTGGATTATACTAGAAAGAGCCAGGAGTGACTTGAGAGCCCTTACTCCTTGGCTCTGTATGTGAATATGTAAAAATGAAATTATATTACTTTTTGCTGACTGTCAGGGATGAATTATCCTCAAAAACAATAGCTGCTAGAAACTTGTCTATGGTATTTTACATTTTGTTTTCTAAATTTCTCTAACTTTGCATTAGGTATAGATTTATCAATATAGGAACAAATCTTGTTAGATCTTGCACTGTGTACAAGTGTCTTGTCAGTGATTTGCACTGCTTTAATAAATTTTCTAGTCTTTAAACATTAGGATGATCGAGAATGGAAAAGCAATAAATAATAGCTTAAATTTATGGTTTGCTTCTGTGTCAGTTTCCATTTATACAAGGCATTTAAGATGGGCCAGCATTTTATTGTCTGAAACCTTTATTAGAGAATAGAAATGGTGATATTTGCTTGTTTTTGAATGCCACAAAATATTCTTAAAGGATAATAATTAGAAATAAGACCTTTTTGAGTAGTAGAGCTTGTCACATTTTTATTTGAAAAACTTTTGTGTGTTTTATTTTTTAAATTAAGTTTTAGGACTTATTCTGTGTCCATGAATAAGTTACAGTTTTTTGAGTGGGAATGTAAGCTTTTCTGAAACAGCATTCATCAAGATGGTAATAGAAGGTTGAATACTATAGATGTTTGGGTAGGTGGTATGGGCTGGCCTTAAGATTGACATAATTGACACTGTAGGAGGGCATGTGCTTTGAGTTCTTTTCCAGTAATGGTGATAAATTTGTTCAGATTCATCCATATTTTCTCACCGAATCCAAATGACATACATTTGTGAAATGGCTGGACATGGCTAGGAGTACAGTCTATGGCTTTGGAACAAAATGAAGCTCTAGCTACATGGAGATCAAACCCAGGACCATGGTCTCATTAGCATCATGCTTCAACCACTTGGAAGCAATACAACTACCAGACAAAATGGCTGATCCTAGTATTGGTAGAACCATATCAATATGGAAGGATGGGTTGGTGTCAACATAGAAATTCAAGAATGGACAAAAATAGTAAGTGGCTTGTAAAATACCAGATTAGTGTAGAATGTGGTTTTGTTTACAAATTGCTATTTATTCATTGTTACTATTTTCATACACAATGGTTACTTATGAAGAAGAAGTGGCTTGGCATGTTAATCTATTTTTTGTAAGTGAAAGTATTAACATAAATACCTTTATTTTTACCCCTGCTATTAACCATTGCATTCTTTTTTACTCTCCCTTAGACCCTATGTTGTGGTTATACTTTCTGCAGAGGAGGATGGGGACACAACTTCTTTTGAATAATAATAATTCTGCTTGCTGTTAAGAGCCGGATTGCAAGAGAGTTTAAAGTGCCCTCAACCCCTTATGATCTGAAAATGAAGATTCGAACTTGTGACCCCCTTTCCTGTTCCATGTGTGGAACCCTTGTGCTGCAACTACAAAATGGGAAGCTTCAGCTCATGCTGAAACTTCAAAACAAAATTCCCACAAATTTTGTTATTACTATAGATAAAATATGAGCATGTTATTTTGTTTATTTACAAATATCAGTATAGTAGAAATATAGATTTTAAGGGTTTTTTTTTTGTTATGCTACTGTACCAGCAAAATAAAATTGTGGCGTCAATCTGTGATTCAGGGTCTTAGTTTCTGCCATTTTATTCTCTGGATGCCATTGAGCTCAGAGGACCCTTATTAGGGATTTATAGGTATGCCCCACAAATATAGAAACTATACAAAATCCCCATTCCCGTCAGTTTACTGATTTGGTACGTTTTCATAAAGATTAACTTGAAATTTTGTTGTGCATATAAATATATTCTCCATTACAGATAAAATCCTGTTATAATGACGTTACAGTGACATTTCTGAATGACATTTCCATGTTTTGGGGACCCCTATTAGCAGTGTTTTGTTGATCTGGTTAACACTGTACCAGAATTTTTTCTCTGGGAGTTTTTCATGTAGCTGTGTATTCTAGAACTAGTAACTATACCTTTATGTGCTTTTCTCAGAGTAATTTTCACTGTAGGAGAATAGTGAGAAAGTTAGCTGTGTCTTCAGATTTTCACAGCTGTCTTGTTCAGCGTTTGTTTTAAATCTCCTCTAATTTCTTGTCATCTCAGATGCATCTGACTGCCACAAAAACAAAAATACATAGACTCTAGCATCTCAGAAGAAGGAAAGGGTTAGGAAAAATGGGTGTTTATGGTACTTTATTTCCCTTCAGTGAGGTAGATTACTTATAGTGAGTGCCAGTCCAGTGGTTAGCACTTTTACAGCAAGTCCCTTTCAGATACAGAATTACTGGTGGCATTTGTTCTTTATTTCCCCCCTTCATGAACATGTTCTCCCTTACACCATGATTTTCACTACTGAAAATTACTTTTTTCCTACGTTTCTTCACTTGAAAAACATGAGCAAGACTAGACTATGGTTTCTTCCAGTTCTGAATCTTTTTCCTATGTGTGGCAGATGAACCACAAGTACTCACAAAACTGGTTACATTGTGGCCTTAAACCACTACTGTAGTTTATGTTCACAACTCCTCTTTCACCACTTCAGAGAGAGAGAGAGAGATCAATTCCTTATTAACTGGGAATGAGATTTATAGCAGTACATTTATAACGTTATACTTCAGCATAACAATTTGTTCAGTCTGTGGCAGTTGTGACAGAATTTTACTTATACTTCATCTGTTGTTTTATTTTTCTCAGTTTTTTCATTAACTAGTACATTTTAAATCATTTCCTTTCCTGTTTTTCCACACCTCTTCCCTTTGGCCCAGATAGGTATGTTCATTTGTAAAAGCGAGCAACTTTCATAAAGAGTTAAGAGATTGAATTTGAGCAGCTAAAGGAATTATTTAGAACATTTGGGAGGGTTTGGAAAAAGCGGTGATTTCTGGATCTTAGTGATGTATGAGGTTGTAATTGTTGTATTGTTTCAAATGTTAAAATAGCTTATCTGCTTTGTATTCATGTGTTGCGACTTTTTAGACTATGATTGTACCAGAATTTTATTTTGTATTTTATTGTCTTCATGTTAAATTTTTCCAGAAGAACTTATCTCCAATTTTATACTAGAAGTCAATGGGAAAATAAGATTCAGTGTACAGAACTTTGCTTTACAGGCATCTTTCATGAATGCATCTATTCCATAACGTTGAGGTAACATTTGTATTGAGAAGTTTGGATCCTTGATTATCTTCTGTGAGATTAAAAAAAAAAGTACAATGTTCTTGTATTTCAACTTTCTTGAATAGTATTCTGAGTATTACTGTGTAATCTAGAGTGTTGTTTCTATATCTCAGGAAGCTGAATATGGTGGGCATGATCAAATAGATTTGTATGATGATGTCATCTCTCCATCTGCAAATAATGGAGATGCCCCAGAGGATCGCGATTACATGGATGCTCTCCCACCATCTGTTGGCGATGATGTAGGTAAAGGATCAGCACCAAATGTTGTCTATACCTATACTGGAAAAAGAATTGCATTGTACATTGGAAATCTTACATGGGTAAGTGCTTGCTACACCAGCTGTTTATTGCTTCTGTATTCATGTCATTCACATTTTCTTGCAATTTCTTAATTGTTTAAAAATACAAATGTGAGATTAGTTAAATTTTTTCCCCTGCTTTTTATTCGTGAATAGATTGGTGGGGGGGGGGAAGGAGTGGAGAGGTATTATTGCTGTACATGATAAAACCTTATAAATACAGACTCAGACTCCACTAATTTGTAATAAGTAAACCTGAGCCAGAGGAGACTTCAGCTAAGTGCAGGTCATTTATCATCAATGCAGGAGTTTTGAGTATGTGTGTTGGGTTTTGTTTTGTTTTGTTTTCCAATTAAAAGATTAAGCAATTACCTTTTTACTCCCCTCATATCTCCTTAATTTACCTCAAACACTGCATTCCTACTCTGAAAAATCCACCTCATTTCTTAAACTGCGATTTTGAGCTTTAGAGGAATGATAAGGGTATGATACTTATTTTGCTTTCTGATTTTGAAATATTTTTTGAAATCAGGCTGAGAGGCTTTCATTTCTAGTTCTTATTGACTGGAATATCGTCATTGTACGCTAGTGATAGAAGTTTTGCTGCCAGATTTGAATGTTTTCTGAGATTCTGATAAACACGTTTAAAGGGAGATGTGTTTAAATAATAAAACTACAGTTTATTTTCTTAAGTGCAGCTGGATGTCGTAGAAGAGGCTTAACTAAAGGCAGTCTTTTAGGATGTTTTAATTAGAAATATTTTATTGGAGTGTGTTTCTATAAAACTGCATTTCTTTTAAAAAATATTCCACGTAATTTTTATTAATTCAGATTCACCTTATTGTACTTTAAAGATAAAAAAGTTTCATAAAACATTTTCATTGATAAACCGAATTGTTTGGTGTGCCTTTTAAATAAGCTTTATATTTGCCAGGTCTGAAAATGTGTAATCATGAAACTTTATAACTGAAAGGGACTTAGGAGATAAAGTAGTCTAATCATCTCATTTAATTGATGAGGAAACAGGTCCAGACACTTTGAGTGTTTTGCCCAATATTAGTTAGTGGAAGTATCAGGATTAGAATACTGTTCTCTTCCCTCCTCCTTCCCCATATCTGATAACTATCATTTTAGAAATTCCATCTAGGTCCAAATAAGCTTTATAGCTGTAAATTTTTTTTTCCTTTTTAAAAGAAAAAATATAGATATGTATACTTCTGGTGAATAGCTTTATCTCATTGATGTGATTACTCCCTCCCTTGGTACAAATTGCAGCTCACCCTTGCTTTTTCATTTTGGGTGACTTCTGTCTGTGTCCTGTAAATCTACCATAGTGGTCCATCCAGTGCTCTGGAGATCTTCCCCTAGATGCTTTCTATTATGTGGGTACCATTGCCCCTACTGAGATTATCAGTCTGTATTTGTCTTTTATTATATGACTGGCCCAACTTTTTTGTCAGTTATAATTCTCTAATAACTTTATTCTACTTTGTGCACCTTATTTGTCATTGGTAATTTGCTCTTACCTATCTGTACCTGCTATAAATCTTTCAGTTGTCCTTTGGGTGACCTGCAGTTTTGCTTTGTCTGAGGTTGTAGCATTTATTCCATGATTCTTAACATTGCTGTAAAAATATTGGTGTTAAAAATTGTGAGATTAATATTTTGAGGAGAGATATAGGGTAATTGAAAGTGTTATTCAGTTTGGAGTTCGTTCCAGCCTGTGTTTTTCCTGTTCAGTTCTGGGCCCAGTTAATTGTCCATCTATGTTGCCTACCCAGAATATATGTTCATGGACCAATTCTGTGGCTGTCTGGAAAACAGGCATTCTTTATCCACCTTTCTTCCTATGTGGGTAGTTAGGACTATGGATCTCATTTAGGAGTCTCTGAAATGTCCTGGAGCTTCATGTAGTCTGTATGATGTCCTCTAACAGCACTTTGAGGATTCTCACTATCCAGAGGGAATCCTTCCAAATGGTTTCTTTGGTAGATAGGTTCCATGACACTGGTAAATGTCTCCATTTGATCCTGTGCTTTATATTTAGAATTAGATGATCATAACTCTGTTAGATCTTTTAAAAAAAATCTTATAAACTAAATGCTTTTTTAAAAAAGCAAACAGGAATCTTAGATTTTCTGTTCCCTTTTTCTCCTTTGAGTGATGGTAAAGATGCGGTCTGCTACAGAACATAATTTGCAAAAGCTTGCCTGTTCCTATCCAGTTATTCACACCTTTGATGTATGTTTGGATTCTCATAAAAAATATTTAAGATATGAATAAGGAATTATTGATATATCCTCAAGGTTACCTTTTTGTAGTGGTAGTAGTAATGTCTGATTTTTTTTCCCCCCAGCTATTCAGTCTTCCAATATTGGAGGTATATTCAGATTATACCTTTTTGTGATCATAATTGTGCCACTTTAGTTTATGCTTCCTCTGTGCATACTTCATCTGGTCCAGCTTCTTTTCCCATTTTACCCCCTTGAGTTCCATCTCTTTTTCCTTGAGGATTATAATGGAATCCAAATATATTTCCATTGTTATTGATGGAATAAAAATTTTCTTGTAGAAATTGTGAGAGATCTTTTTTTATTTTTACCATTTTGTGCCAATTTTATCCTTAACTGCTTTTGGAATGATTGATTTGGCTTATTTGGGTCTCAAATCAAACTTTCTGTAAAATTCTTTTTCTTTTGAGCACTTAGTGTTTTATGAAATGTTATTCCATTATCTTCCTTCAAAAGATTTTTACAAATGACTTTGTTCTAAATTGATGTTATCCTTGATGGCCATTCTCTTCTTGTCAAGGAGGTTATGTGTTAAACTTTCATTTATGCCTTTTTTGCTTTTGTGTTATATTCATTCCTGAATATAACCCCAAGCCATTGAGTCTTCCCTTGTAACAAAGATAAATGACTGAAAAAAACCCCAATTCAATAAAACTAATGGATACTTCTGCTACATATGACAATATATGCAGTGTTTTACACTCATTGTTCTTGGCCTTTCCGAAAAGAGGGGGGAAATATATTTAAGGAGATCAACTGGTAGTGGGCTGAATTACTTTCTAGGCTTTTGGTCTCCTTGTTGTTGGGGTTTGTTTACACATTGATTACTCTTCAGTAGGAATAGTGACGTGACAATCTGGGTCAGTGTCTGTTCCTTTCCCCATTTTCACTTTTTCAGCCTCAGCAGCTTATTTAAATACATTAACTTGAAATTTTTTTATTATTACATGCTGTGTCTTCTCATCTTTATTCTAAATTTTAATCATTAGCCTAATGTGTTAATAGTCTGGATGTACAGATAGCTGGGCCAGCTAGGTGGCACTCATCTTCCTGAGTTCAAGTCTGGCCTCAGATGCTTTCTAGCTGTGTGACTCTGGCCAAGTCACTTGACCCTGTTTGCCTCAGTTTCCTCTTCTGTGAAATGAGCTGGAGAAGGAAATAGCAAACCACTCTAGTATCTTTGTCAAGAAAACTCCAAATGAAGTCACAAAGAGCTAGACAGGACTGAAACACTGAACAACAACAAAATACAGATAGCCAATTTGGAATGAGCCTCAGGTTGTTAATCATTTATTTCCTGTCTATTAAGATAGAATCACTTTTTTTTTGTGCTATTTAATGCTCACCATGTCTATTACCTCCTGACTCTTAAAAAAGAGGCATGAGGTTTTGGTATAACCTAACAGGTACTATCTCCTTGGTCCTATCTTCTACCATTTTTACCTTCTTTCCTTGTGTCTGCCTTTGTATCAAAGTCACCAGATATCAAACTATGTGTTGATGTAATTTTTGAAAATAATATTTTTCCATGATTACATGTAAAAATAATAAAAAAATTTTTTTAAAGTTTTGAGTTCCAAATTTTATCCCTCCATTCCTTCCCCCCTTTTCCCCATGGTAATCTGATATAGGTTATTCATGTGCAGTCATGTAAAACATTTCCATATTAGTCATTTTGTGAAAGAAAATTCAAAAAGAAAGTAAGAAAGAAGGAAAGAGAAAATTGGTATGCTTTGGTTTGTATTCAGATGCTATCAGTTCTTTCTCTGGAGATGGATAGCATTTTCCATCATGAGTCTTTTTGGATTGTCTTGAATTATTGGATTGCTGAAAATACCTAAGTCATTTCCAGTTGTTCATTGTACAATATTGTTTTGCCCACTTCACTCTGCATCAGTTCATGTAAGTATTTCCAGGTTTTTCTAAGAGCATGTAGCTCATTTCTTTTTTTTTTTTTCCCAGCCAGAGGAAAAGTTTATTAGTAATAAAACACATAGGCCAGGTAACGCCCGTGAGGACGAGCGGGCATAAGAAAGTCTCAGCCTTTTGGGTGTGAAATTCTTAGCGTCTGAATGGGGGCCAGGGTAGATCTTATATACTAAAGTGATTTTGGGTAGCCAGAGGAGGGGTCTCGGAAAATGCTCTAGCTCATTTTTTATCGCGCAATAGTATTCCATCACAGCTATATACCACAACTTGTTCAGCCATTCCCTAATTGATTAGCATCCCCTCAATTTCCAGTTCTTAGCCAGCACAAAAAAAACTGGTATGAATATGTTTGTGCAAATAGGTCCTTTTCCTTTTTTTAAAAATCTCTTTGGGATACAAACCTAGTAGTGGTATTGCTAGTTCAAAGGATATGCAGAGTTTTTATAGCCCTTGTAGGCATAGTTTCAAATTGTTCTCCAGAATGGTTGATTAAGTTAACAACTTCACCAGAAGTGCATCAGTGTCCCAATTTTCCCACATCCTCTGGAACATTTGTCATTTTCCTTTTCTGTCATGTTAGCCAATCTGATAGGTGTGAGGTGGTACCTCAGAGTGGTTTTAATTTGCATTTCTCAATAGTGGTTACATCGTTTTTTCATGATTATAGATAGCTTTGATTTTTTTTGGTCTGAAAACTGCCTGTTCATGAATCCTTTGACCATTTATCATTTGGAGAATGACTTGTATTATGAACTGGACTTAGTTCTCTATATATTTGAGAAAGGAGGCCTTTATCAGATAGGCTTGCTTTTCCAATTTTGGTTGCATTGGGGTTTTTGGTGCAAACTTTTAAATTTAATGTAATCAAAATTATCCATTTTATATTTCATAATGGTCTTGTTTGGTCCTAAATTCCTCCCTTATCCATAGATCTGACAGGTAAACTATTCCATGCTCCCTTAATTTACTTACGGTAACACCCTTTATGTCTAAATTGTGTACCTGTGTCAATGTTATTTTGAGTATCTTTTTTGAGTTTTTCATGGAAATTTTTTATTCCTTTCTTGATGGTTCATAAGCTACAATTAACTTCATAGTGGGCTTTTTGCTTAACCCTGCAGCATGAGATGATCTAGCGTCTCATGAAATGATATTTCTTGTCTTTGGCTACATAATAAAGCCACAACCTTTAGTTGCCTCTCCAAATTGAACTTGTGAGCAATCTTTTTATTTTATCTTTTGACTATATTGTTAAGCAAGAAGGTCAAGATTGATGTTCAGTTCTTCCAGTTTTGTAGACATTTTTAATATTTGTACTTCATGTTTAGAGTCTCTTACTGTTGATAGGCTATCTGAAAACTGATTCTTAGCATCCACTGCCCTCTTTCTCTGCCATTGTTACTGCACAGGAATAGGGGGCATCTTGTACGTTTATGTTTCATAGGTTGCTATGGACAAAGAATCTTTTACTTAATTGCTTATTGGTGCAGAACCTCTCAGCTTAGCTGGGATAGTCTGTAGAAAACAGGGATGGTATGTCTCTAGGATTGTACTCAAAGGCTATGCTTTGGGGACAAGGGGAAACTTGTGTAATCTGTATTTTAACCAGTGAGGAAAGAGGATGTTTAAAAATTATACTGCTCCCAAACATTTCCTTTATTGCTTGTACCACATAACTAATGCATATAAAACAATATTTTTGACTGTAGTATCATTTTTATCAGTCCATTTACCATGTAATTTAGAGTTTATGCTGTTTCACAAAATTGAGTTTATTTATAATTTCTAATTCTTGTCCTTTAGTCACTAATTTTGTTGTATTTGTGGAATATATGAAGAGAAACACTTTCATTTAATAAAAGAATACTGTCAGTGTAAATGTTTAGATTTTATTTTTACATAAAGTTTTAAAATACTAGTTACAACAAGCAGTGAAACTTTGAATATATTTTTGTTACTGAATTTTAAACTTAAATGTCTTGCAGTGGACAACTGATGAAGATTTAACTGAAGCAGTTCATTCTTTGGGAGTAAATGATATTTTGGAGATTAAGTTTTTTGAAAACCGTGCTAATGGCCAGTCAAAGGGGTAAGAATTTTTTTTGGCCTAACTTTTTCCTTCTATAGTATTAGTGCCATTTCATTGAGCTATTGATGTTAATACTGATTCATATTGATGGAGAAGTGATGTATTGTAAATAAGCAAAAAGCATTTATTAAGCACTACAAATACAATGAGGAAAATGAAATAGGACCTGATTTCAAGGATCCTGTGTTTTTTTCTGTATCTTTCTTACTTGTGAAATGGTAAAGACACCTGTTGAATATCATTTTAAAAATACCATAGAAACCTTCTCTACTAATGCATTTATCACAGTAGGAGAGTAGACATGGGTTTGTAGTTATTCTCTGAATAAGGTCTGTTCTCCTTGAGTTACCTTGTATTTTAGCCTTTCAACACCTTCACAATTGTCATCTCTATCAAGGATTTTCTATACCTTATTTGGTCTAATACAGCTACTTTTTTTTTGTTCTTTTCAGTGTCATTCTTACTTTCTCTAAGCTATCTTAAGGGCTATAATGTTAACTAGTGTGGTTCCATTATCCTTGAAGGAGAAAACAGCTGGTTGAAATGTGTTTTTGTAAATCTTTCCCTTTTTTTTTTTCTTTCTGGTTTTAGTCTTTTGTTTTTATCCTTGAAGGTCCTTGGAATTACTTTACTTAATTGAATATCTTGGCAAGTTTGCTTTAAATTTGTTTTACCCTTTCATCCTTGTCTGCTACATGAGTTAATACAGCTCATAATTGCCCATCTTTCTTTGCAAGATTTTACAGATTAATTATAAGTCAATTATTTGTTGACTAATATGCTTTCTGAGCCCTTTTGGTCTGTCTCCTTGTGACAGTTAAGTTACATGGGTTAAATCTGTCTGTGAAATCATTATAAAAGTAGAACATTTTTGTGTAAACACATATACTTTCATTTTTATATGGGTGTAATCACAGTATGACTCATGAAAAGAATTACAAATGGTAGGTCCATGATATGCTATATGGTCCTTTAATTATAGCATACATGGGCCATTCATTGATGGTTGGTATCCTCCCCTTCAGGTATCTTTGGTATTGGTGTTCCCTCACCCCCAATTTTATTTGTTTATTTATTTTTCTGTGTTGGTTGCATTTTTGATGCAAAGATGATTTTTTCCCCAAAAAAATGCCCTTTAGATTATGAGAGGGTCAGTTAGTTTTTGACAGACATATATGAAATGCTGTGTACCAGGTAGTCTGTGAGAAGTTGGGATATAAAGCCAAAAAATATAGCAGTCCCTGCTCTCAAAAAGCTTACATTCTATTATTTGTTCCCCTGAAAAACTATGTAGTTAGTGTTTTCCAAACAAGATGCTCTTGAATATTTTTTCTTTTATTTGTTGTATTCTAACAGATGGCTTTTGAGTTCAGAGCTAAGTTTTTGGGGAGTTGTATGAATTTGATTTAACAAACTGCCTTTGAGTAGAAACTAGTGATTGTGAAGCGTCCCAGTTTTTTAAATGGGATTCATTTAATTACAAATGAGAATAAAAACATAGTTGAAACAAATTTACATTTCCTTTTCATATTGAAAAATACCATTTTTTGATTTTCTTCTTTAGCAACTTTGATAATTTATCATCTCGTGCAGGGGTCTCAAAGATAATAGAGGACTGGCATTGATAATGTTCTGCTTTCTTCATTTTGAGTGTGGAAGTATCAAATTAAAATGTTTCTTTACTTCATCTAACAACCCTACCTGTACCCAGCTTTACTTCACACTCTTAACTTTGTACTATATGTTCTGGCTAAACTGGGCTGCTTCTTGTCATCCATTTCCACAGCCATTTAACAACTGGCTTTTGGGGGAGAGGTGTAGTATGCTGGCATACTTTTAAAAGTTTAATCCTGGGGCAGCTAAGTGGCACAGTGAATAGAGCTCTGGCCTTAGAGTCAGGAGGAACTGAGTTTAGATTCAGCCTCAGACATTTAACACTTACTAGCTGTGTGACCCTGGGCTAGTCACTTAACCCTGATCCCCTCACCCCCCCCAAAGTTTAATCTGTGTTATTATCATTTATGTCTAGACAATAAAAACAACAAATCAAGCCCTGACTTAAAGTGTTGGCCAGTTTCAAAGATGCAGATACTTACACTGAAAGTTTAACAATTGGCTCCAGTTCTAACTGGTTTCCAAAACACTACTGCCTGTATATCCCTTTACATAGCTGGGGTTTGCTCTATTTGACTCTTTTTTGTTTGTTTGTTTGTTAGGCAGTGGGGTTAAGTGACTTGCCCAGGGTCTCATAGCTTTTAAGAGTCAAGTGTCTGAGGTCTCATTTGAACTCAGGTCCTCCTGACTCCAGGGCCCATACACCACCTAGCTGTCCCTCTACTTAATTCTTGAGGATAGAAATAAGACCAGTGGGTGAAAGTTGCCTAGACAAAGACTGTTTACCTGTTTCATGTGTAACAAAAATATAAAATAGAGCATAGGTCTATAAGAGAAGACTTCCTTTTATTCTTCTAGCCCAGACAGCTATGTTCTTGTCTTTCCCTAACCCTTTTATGGCTTTCTACTGCATCACTGTCTACTCTTTAACAAATCCTCGTAGTTTGACTTCTAGCCACTATAATAAAACTAGTTATCGATGACTTAACTGTCAAACTCTCTATGGTCTTTTTTAGTCCTTATCCTTCTTGGCCTCTCTGTACCTTTTGACACTGTTGACCATCTTGTCCCATTAGGTGTCCTTTCTTTCTGTGGCTTCAGAGATAATATACTCCTGTTCCTCTTACATTCTTTAATCAGATGTTTTGTTTCCATTGCTCATTCATCTTAACATTCTGTCCTTGGCTGTCTTGTCCCTCTCCATAGTTTTTGGCACTCTGGTCACCTGATTCTTCCTCTTCACCTTTCTTTATGCAGTGAATCACCAACTGTTTCAGATCTGTGTCATATCCATCCTCTCTTCTAATTGCTACTCTGGTATAGATCCTCATTGTCACCTGTCTTCTAACATCGAGCCACTATGATTCCTTCCCTTTGCCAATTCTTCAGACTAAACCACGTGAACTTTTATTGAACATCTTCCACGTGCCAGTCACTGTGATGGATGCTGAGGATACAAATATAAAAGCCAGAGTGTTAGTGCCTACCTACCTCCAGGAACTTATCCTCTCTACTATATTTGCTTTGCTTTTCGTGTGATAGATTACCATGCTTTTTGATATTTCATGTAAAAATAACATAAGAAAAATGTGAGAAAAATAATTCATTTTAAATACAAAATATGCTGAAAGGTAATACAATTTTATTTTTTAAGGTCTTTTCTATAAAGGAACATAAAACCATGAGAAAACAGGATTAATACATAAACTTATACTTTATGAGCAGCTTTTTAAAAGTGAAAATACACCTTGGTGTAGTAGAGAGATGACTTTGACACTGGGAAGACCTAGGCTCAAGTTCCTTCTCTTGACTTACTGGTTGTGTGTTAGTGTGCTAGGCAACTCTAATACTATAAATAGCAGAGGAGGTAACTCAGTGAGGTATTGTGATCCATATCACAAAGTGCTAGAATTTTTCTTTCTTACCAGTAGTAGAAAGAGAACAATCTTAAGTCTGTGTTGTTAGCAACAGATTTTGAAGTCATTTACAGTGAGCTATGGCTATTCTACTTGGGAGCCAGAGTACTCTAGTAGTGGAAGGAACATTTGACTTGGAGCCAGAAAATTTGGATTTGAGTTCCAGGCTCTGCCACTTACGATGGGTTAATTATTTAAACGGAGATACTATCTGGTAGAGTTTTATGGAAGGTGCTTTGTAAACTTAGAAAACACTATATAAATGGATTCTGTTTTGCTAATGCATGAACAAGAAGTCTATTCAAATGCATTATTGTGGTAGGGAGGTGATGTTAGTAGAGAATCAGTTCCAGTAGGTTAAACAGTATTAGCCTTTAGCAATATTTAGCTGCTTAAGTAACACTGTGTTAGGGCAGGCAGGGTGGTATGGAAATAAGTACTATTGAAATTAAATAAAGTGTCTGTGGAATCAAGATGACCTAATATTAAATGCTTAAACTCACCTCTTTTACCTGAAAAGCAGAATCCTGCTAGCATCTTTTTAGTTTTTGTTTCTGCTGGACAAATGTAGCTAAAAACTGTTCAAATAATGCTTAGGAAAATTGATACTTGGTGATTAAAAATTAATGTCCAAGCACTTCCATTTTTAATTAAAGAAGATTGATCTGTCTGACTTGCAAGTGAATGGCTACACCACCTTTGAAAAGTAGCTACATATTCAAATAATTTCTTAATAATGACAATGGAAAAGTCTGGAAGTTGATCAAGGATCTTTTTGGAATTCTTTACTGTGTGGTAAATTGATATTTAAAAAAGAGCAAAGATTTAATAGCTTTTGGCCTTGATGCTGTTTTGCTTTTCTGATTTCCTTGTTTGTGACTGGAGCCCTCAAGTATACTATAATAGCCATCAGCTTATTGTTAGAAATGTGTTTTAGATATTTAATACTTGAAATTGCAAGTGAAGAGAGGCCCTTTTGAAGGGATTTGAAAGGAGCCAGAAGGGCTCATCTGGGCCATCGCCTTCACTTCAGGCGCTTGCCCAAGGTAGTCAATACTACAGGCAAAGTAATGATGAAGGAAGTGATTTCTCTGTCAGAGCTGGTTTTCGGGACCCAGATTTCTTTACTGTTTCTGTCGTGGTGTGCTGGGAAGGAGTCCCAGAGTCAGAGGACCTGGGTTGGAATCCTAACTTTGCCATTTGCCAGCTTTATGATTTTGGGTAACCTTTGCTTTTCTGGGCCTCAGGTTTCTCATCTTGTAAAAGGAGCATGTTGGACTATACAGTCTTCAAGATCCCTTCTCGCTGTAACTATGAACTTGTCTAACAACATAAGGAATATTTACAAGTAATCATTAGAGAATTAAGAATATTCAGAAGAATTCCATATTATTGCATTCAAGGCTACTTTCTAATCCCTTTTTCTTTTCCCTCTCCTTCTTGCTCCTCTTTTTTTTTTTTTAAGATTTGCCCTTGTTGGTGTAGGATCTGAAGCATCCTCAAAAAAGTTAATGGATCTGTTGCCTAAAAGAGAACTACATGGTCAGAATCCTGTTGTGACTCCTTGTAATAAGCAGTTCCTGAGTCAATTTGAAATGCAATCCAGGAAAAGTAAGCACAACTCTCCCTCCTCATCTCCCCCCACCCCCTCCAAATCCTTCTTTGAAAAAGTGTCGTGTATGTTGTAGGGCCTTAAGGTGATGTGAAAATCATCTTAATGCTTAGGTTATCATCTGAAAGCAAAGTTTATGTATTCTTCAGGATGGTTTTAGCAATTAATGATCCCTTATTACTGATAATTAACATGGTCCTTTCTTCTTGAAGTCTTGATATTAGCCCTTATCATGGAGGTGGCATTACCACACCTTTAGATAGACATGCAATTGCAGAATCCTGTCATGCCCGATGTTTTTTAAACAGTATAAAAAAGGGTGTTTTTGTGTGCTTTACATGTAGAAAGAATTGATTTTGGAATAATCTTGAGTATTTGAAGCATTAGCAACTGCAGTATAAGTAGTTTAGTATGTGAAAGGATTTGAGTTAATCTTTTTAGTCAATATTGATCTGTCACTACTACTGTTACACATGGTAAAATGAAGATTTGGCATGTTCTGCACTTTCAACGAACCTGATCTAATTGGGGAGACAACAGCTAAATGTATAGCCAACATAAATAGAAAAAATTTAAATGTCTTATCACTTTTCTGAGAAGCTCTTATGTTGTAGAACTTTTTATAAAATTGAGTGGTTTGTACAACTGAAATTCTTGGCTGCTGCAGAATACTTGGTATTTTGAAAGTAGGTTTTGCATTTCCTCATTGGATGTACCTTAAAACCTGGATTCTGAGACTTTAAGAAATCACATGGATATGAACACCTACTAAACCAACACTTCCACGCAATTTGCACAGGCCCAAGGCATCTACAAGTTTAAGTATATTATGAATGAAGATGGGGAGGGGGAGAATTTACCCCCTGACAACAGTGGTTACATTTCAATGAACTGATTTAATAAATGCTATTTATGAGTATTTGGATATTTGCAGCTACACAATCAGGACAAATGTCTGGGGAAGGTAAAGCTGGCCCTCCAGGAGGCAGTTCACGTGCAGCATTTCCACAAGGTGGTAGAGGACGGGGCCGTTTTCCAGGGGCTGTTCCAGGTGGGGACAGATTTCCTGGACCAGCTGGACCAGGAGGGCCACCCCCACCTTTCCCAGGTAAAAATCTTCTCAAATTACCATGGATAAACTTGACTTCCCAATACCTCTTTTCCTTTTCTCTCTTTTTCAAGTTATGCATTATTAATGTGACTTACTCTCCTTGTTATGCTATTTTTGGAATCCAGGAAATTTGATCAAGCATCTTGTTAAAGGAACTCGGCCTTTGTTCCTGGAAACTAGGATTCCATGGCATATGGGGCACAGCATAGAGGAAATACCCATTTTTGGCCTAAAAGGTCTTTATTTTTCTCCAAACTTGCTTGACTTTATATATAGAATATTTACATCCGTCTTATTTTCTTACCTCTTTAAAAAAAATCCTTTCAAGACCATTTTTCCTCGTTTCACTTTCTAGCTTGGCATCAGAATAGAATTTAAGGTGGGTGATTTCACTGTAAGAAGTGTATATACACTGAAAGGTAGACATTTTAAAAAAGCACTCTTGAGTATTGTAATCCTTTTTACTAAAGTTTTCATTTATTTGAATAACATCTCTTAAGAACTTAAATGTTTTAAAAAATTAAGTTTATGCAAATATGCTTTGCCTTCATAGTTAATATAGGATTTAAGTTGTGGGTTATATGTTAAGAGGGATGATCTTGGCATGGTAGTGAGAAGTATCTTATTATTGAATTTTTTTCTCTCTCTCCTTTATCCTGTAGCTGGACAAACTCCACCACGTCCACCCCTAGGTCCTCCAGGCCCTCCTGGCCCACCAGGCCCTCCACCTCCTGGTCAGGTTCTTCCTCCTCCATTAGCTGGGCCTCCTAATCGAGGTGATCGCCCTCCACCACCAGTTCTTTTTCCAGGACAGCCTTTTGGGCAGCCTCCACTGGGTCCACTTCCTCCTGGTCCTCCACCTCCAGTGCCAGGCTATGGCCCCCCTCCTGGTCCTCCACCTCCACAGCAGGGACCACCTCCGCCTCCAGGCCCTTTTCCACCTCGCCCACCTGGCCCTCTGGGGCCACCCCTCACACTTGCTCCTCCTCCACATCTTCCTGGACCACCTCCAGGTGCCCCCCCACCGGCTCCACACGTGAATCCAGCTTTCTTTCCCCCACCAACCAACAGTGGCATGCCAACATCAGACAGCCGGGGTCCACCACCCACCGACCCCTATGGCCGACCACCACCATATGATAGAGGTGACTATGGGCCCCCTGGAAGGTAAGTCAGGATGTAAGCATGTCAAAGAGCAACGTGTTTTCTTCCATGGGGGGAAAGAGGTGTTAATGGCCATTTGTACGTTTTCATCTAGTTTTAAATAGAACCTGCTTCATAAGCCTTTTTTGTAAAAATATCTTTGACTACAACCTTTTGCCTCATGTATTTCACTTCTGTCCATTTTTGTATTTCTGCCATCCCTGGCTGTGAGGAGGTAGTGAGGCATGAGGAGGGGAGAGCACCTTGACAAGGATGCTGGGGTTGGACTTAGCTGTCATTGACTGGCTGGGCTGAGCCTTAGTGCAGTGCCAGCCAACTGTGGTCTTCACATCTTTGGATGTTACAGTGAAGACATTAGACTGGATGATCTTAAATGAGGCCCCTATCTATCACATCAAAGAGCATGCATTTATTCCATTCACAGTTTTGACATGTCTACATGTACATTCATTTACTTCTCTACTTATTCACACATTGATTTGCTTTTGTTAAGTCAACTGATACTAAATTATGTCAAGTCCATTGAATTTTTTTCCTTGTTTCATAAATAAGCAAAACATTCTGTATAATTTGTATGCTAATTAAGCAAATATTCTTCATTTCAAATTAGCTTCTAAGTTTGGAATATTTCAGTGTGTCTGACGGCATGATAAGTGTCTTGGTTAGATAAACTACCTTAGACTTATTTATCTGCTTGTCAGTTCTCTTGTACTTCTATAACATTAGACAGTTTAGGAAATGTACAGATCACTTTGCTGGTGAGATTGTCATTATATAAAAGTGTGACTGTATAATCAGATTACTGGAAAACTTTTATCTGTTTATTTGTATGTGAAAAGCATTAAGGAAAAGCATGAAGCTAGCCTCAGAAATCAGTAGGACTTTGGTTCAAGGTCTGCCTTTGACTTAACGTGCTCTGTGTAACCCCGAGCAAGTTGTTGAAACTCTCAGCCAAGGGATCTGTTATGGAGTAGGGAACAGCCAGCCTGTGTTAGTGGCCTTTCCTTGCCAGCCACCTCCTCCTCCTCCTCACATTTGTTCACCTGGTTAGACTAGGCTTTTGTAGTGTGTTATGGAATGCTGGCAGTTCAATACTGTGATACTTAACAAATTGACCTAACACTCATTTCATCTTTTTTCCCATTACATTTAATGACAGAACTGGAATGAATTGTTTGTACTCCTTTCTGCTTCCCTTCTGCTTCTCCTCTCATTCACGTCTGAGTGTATGCTACTTTCAGAACGCCATGCATGGCCACTATGAAAGGGCCAGATAACCTGGCTTCTTTCTGTCAGATTCCCTGGGCAGTTTTTTTTAACCACTCTAAAGTTTTCCTAATCTGTTTAATAATGTGGTTAGACTAGCCAACTGTGGAGGTCCCTTCCATATTTAAAGCTTTATAAAGTTGTCAGGTTATTCTGGTCCTTTTATTATGTGTTGGCCTGTTTCTGGTTTTGTGATTTTTTTTTTTGTCATAAAGAACATTTAAATGTCTATTTGAACATAGTGATCATCATGCTGTCTCAAATACAAATTTAAGATAGCTAAGGTTTTCCTGGAATTCAAAGTAGTTTTTCAACTGAAGGAGGTAAAATCTAGTGAAATTAATTTGGACTTTATTTTTTTGAGGAAAATTTGAACTTTATATTGCCACCCTTCCTGGAGTAAATAAGCCACCATCCCTGAAAAAGAGTAGCTAAATGTTTTTTGTTTGGATTGTTTAAAATGGAAAGGATTTCCCCAATTGAAAGACATAATTTTAGGTTACTTATTTTAATTGTTGCAGAGAAATGGATGCTGCAAGAACGCCATTAAGTGAAGCAGAGTTTGAAGAAATCATGAATAGAAACAGGGCGATTTCGAGCAGTGCCATTTCAAGAGCTGTGTCTGATGCCAGTGCTGGTTAGTTATTTCTTGGGCTTTGAAAATCTCTTCATTCTTAACGTGTAGAAGATCCTGAAAATCAGGAAAATTAGCTGTAGTGAGCAGATTACTTACCCAGAATGGTTTTTGCCATCTCAGGAATTTTTTTTAAAATGCGTAATTGAAATCCTTGGTCATTTTATATTGCTTGCTTTTGGAAAATAATATGCCATTTGTAGTGCTGCTATAGGGGTAGATGGCATTTTAAAACAAATAATAGAAAAATAAGTTTTACTGGAATTTTGTTGACTTTCAATGTTTTGTGTGTTTTAGGTGATTATGGGAGTGCTATTGAGACATTGGTAACTGCTATTTCCTTAATTAAACAATCCAAAGTATCTGCTGATGATCGTTGCAAAGTGCTTATTAGTTCCTTGCAGGATTGCCTTCATGGAATTGAGTCCAAATCTTATGGTTCTGGATCAAGGTAAAACTTTCCTTTTTTAGTTCCATTTAGAACTATTAGTTTATAAATAGAAAATTACGGCAGTCATTTTTAGGATTTTAAATAAAGCTTTTGATTTTACTTTAGATAAAGGATGCATTATCTCTTTCTGGAGTACTGTGTCCTAAAAGATAGACTCTCGCTGGACCTTTGGTGTGGCAGTGGAAAGAGCCCTAGCTTTGGTTTTCCTTGGGTTCTAACCCCCACTGCTCTTCATTCACTGAGTTTGAGCAAAGACATTATATTTACCTTTTTCAGCCACTGCTTCTTCATCTATAGAAGGGTCTGATCAACTGTCCCAATTAAGAGCCTGACCTATGCCAGGTGCCGGGCCATGCCTATAAACTTGTTTGTGTGCACTTGAGAGCAAGGGCTGGGCTGTTTTTGGGCCTTTCTTTGCATCCCCAGGGCTTAGCGCGATGTTTAAGCAAATGCATTTTGACTGATTGTTACATTTAAAGCCCACAGTAGAATTGTAGTTTTGAGGAAAGTGAATTTTGATGTTAAAATGATGTTAAATAATTTTCCAAAGTTTTTTAATGTGTGCCATAGCCACTGACCACGTGTGAGGAAAGAACTTTTAACAATTCACATGACTCTGTTCTCCTTAGTTTTTCACTTTCCAAGGAAGTTTCTGTCTTGGTGGTTCAAGTTCTTAATGGCTAAAAGTTTGCTTGCTGAGAAGTTTTGGTATCTTGGTGTAGAAATGTTAATGTTTTAGATACACCTCTGGCATATAATGGTCCTTATTTTAAGTCAACAGTTTAACCACAATAAATATTTAGTTGGGGGATTGGACACCTAAAAAGGAGCAGGAGAATGTGTACTGCTAATTTGCTGTTCTCACTCCCTCGGATCATCAGCCTGTTCTTGGTCACCAACTGTGACATTTATATCAAAAGTAAATTCTGCCAAAAATAATTTTAATGTTATTTACAAATTGCCAAGTAGAAGTACAGTACCTAGGTTTGATTGTCAGATTAGTGGAAATTCTAGTCCTCAGCTACCTTACCTGTGGCTATCTTTGGCAATGTAGTAGAAAAGCTCTAACATTTTTTAATTCTTTAAATAAGTATCTCACTATTAAGTTTGATTAATATCCTAAATCAGCATCCTTCAGAAGCTTTAAAGGGAACAAATCATGTCAGTTGGAGTAATGTCAACATGTGCCTAAAGGGAATAATAGGAGGCAATTTGACCTAATAGCCCAAGCTTGCTAGTTAACTTGTAGTCTGGAACAACTGAGCTTTAGTCCTTCCACTGTTATTTATTATGTGACCTTGGGCTAATTACCTAAAGCTTCAGATTCTTTATCTGTAAAGTGAGATGAATACTTTTACCAAAGGAGATGAATGAGGGTTAAATGAGGTAACAAATGTAAAGTGTTACATGAATATAAAGTATTTTGTGTAGCTAGGTAGCTAGTGACCCAGCAGATAGAGTTTTAGGCCTGGAGTCAGGAAGACCCGAGTTTAAATCCAGTCTCAAACGCTCAATAGTTGCAGGGTCCTGTGCCAGCTTAGCCCATTATCTGCCTCAGTTCCCTTAGCTCTGAAATAAGGATCATAATAATTGTCGCAAGGATCTTAGTAATTATAAATCTAGTAATTGTAAAGTGCTTAACACAGTTCCTGGGATGTAGTAAGTGCTGTATAATGTTAGCTATTATTTTTTGTTTTCTCAGGCCTAAAATACCTGGTTTCAAGTCTTCCACTTCCTTTTTTTTTTTTACTACTTTTTGGTAAAGGGAGGTAAAAAACTAATATTCACAGTAATGCGTGGAGAAGGGGGGAAAAAAAACTTCATACAAGCCCCTGAAATTGAGCCTTTACAAAATCATTGTAACCCTTTAAAGCTTTGAAGAATACTTAATGGTCTCATTCGTGACTTGCAACAACCTTTGGAAAGTGGGCCTAACAAGTTCTAGCCGTTTTACAGGGGAGGAAATTGAAGTGGGTGTAGGGCAGGTGCCTTATCTACGGTCATATCCAAGTGTTAAACGTGGATGTTTTCTAAATCATTCTGACTCCAGGTCTACCATTTTATCTGTGATAAGCATGTGGCATCTGCTGAAAATGGAAGAGATACTAAATGGGAAAGAATAATCACAGAAGAAGGAAGGGGGAGATTAGAAACAACAAAGTATTTCCGAAGATGTTTTCCTTTTGTCTTTGAACATAATTAATCCTATAGCTCTGTGACTAGAACCATGGAACTTGAGTGATAAAAAGAATGAGGAATGGTTACCTAGTTCAACCCTTTGCTTTATAGGGGAGGAAACTAAAACCTCAAGAAATTAAGTGGTCTCTCTGCCCAAAATCACATCTGGAGAACATGTTTAGAACCTAGCAATTTTTACATCACCTAATGTAGATAATTTCTAACATCCCTTCCTGCTCTAAGATTTTGTGCTTCCTTTTCCAACTCTTGTAAGGGGCACCTAGCTTGGACAGTGGATAGAGCACTGGACTTGAAATCAGAAAGCCTCATCTTCCTGAGTTCAAATGTGGCCTTGGACATATACTTGTCGTGTGACCCTGGGCAAGTCACTTAACCTTATTTGCCTCAGTTTCCTCATCTGTAAAATGAGCTGGACAAGGAAATGGCAAACCACGTCAATATCTTTGTCAAGAAAACCCCAAATGGGGTCACAAAGAGTCAGACACAGCTGAAACAACAGCAGCCAGCAAAATCTAACTTTTATAAATATACACTCACCTAAAGATTATGATGCTATCTACCTGGGTTAGATTCATACTCCTTAGAACATAGAGAAAAGAAAAAATATCCCTTGAGATCTCTTCCCTGGATTAATCTCAAACTCTAAGACTACATGCTGTTTCCCCTAGGACTGAGCAGCTATTCCTAAAATCCACCACCTTTGCAAACAGTGCAAAAGAAACATTTTGTGTGTGTGTGTGTGTGTGTGTGTGTGTGTGTGTGTGTTTTCTCTCTCATGGACTGCTTTTGATTTCTTTTCATATATTTCCGATTCATTCTTTACTTTAAAAAAATTAACCAAAATACCAAAAGTCTCTTTTCCTCCCTATTATTAAAATGCAAATGGAATTTTGTCTCGAAATAATAGTTAATTTTAGAATCTTTGGTTGGTTGTTTGCTATGTCAGAAAAACCTGGTTAAAGAAGGTTCAAATGGGATAAACCTAATTAAGAGGGAGAACCCAAATCACTCAGGCTTTCATTATAAGGAATTTTTATTTATTTATTGGAAGAGTAGTGGTCTAGGTTTCTATTGAGCTGCTGGCTGATAACCCAAGTTATCTGTCTCTATAATAGAATCTGTACTTTATTTGAGCCGGGTATAGTTCTTAATATTTGCTGAGTTGATTTGTTTGTTAGTTTGTATTAGAGGTTGTATAGTGTGCTGCCTTACTGTTTATATAACTCAGTCCAGTACTTCATGGTGTGAGATTAATAAAATATATAATCTTACATTGCTCTTGGTGACCCAAGATAAGTAATACAGGGAAGGGACAGACAAGGTGGAAGATCTAAACTGTGTTTGGAAAGGTTTTTTTTTGTCTTTCTGGAAGAAATGTTCATTTTTAGGGAACCAGTTAAGAAGAGTATTAACCTAGTAATTTCTTTTAGAAGACGTGAACGATCGAGAGAGAGGGACCACAGTAGATCCAGAGAAAAGAGCAGACGTCACAAATCCCGTAGTAGAGATCGTCATGATGATTATTATAGAGAGAGGAGCAGAGAACGAGAAAGACATCGGGATCGTGACCGAGACCGTGATAGAGAACGTGATAGAGAGCGAGAGTATCGCCACCGTTAAGAGAAGGTGGGTATTGCCGGTTCCTTCTGTATGTCAGTGTCTGTAGTAGTATTAACATTAAATATAACTCCAAGGCTGTTGTTTATACAGTAAATGCCTACATATTAAATGGTCCCGCTACATGTGCAGGATTTGTTCTTCAGGAAACACACAAGACAGTAATGCCAGGTAAGCAAGTCCAGGTAAAAAAAAAATCCACATTTCTTCTCCCTCCTTTTAGATATTCTTACTGCATGAATATGTTAATTTGTATGATATGTGATTGATTCTTTTTTAGGGAAAAGAGGAAGATATCTTACTACCTTAATCAAGAGGGCTCATTCTCCACTACTAAAATCTGAAAATTTGTTATCTCCCAAATCATTTTCATAGTTTTCATTTTTAATAAATTAAAATAAATTGTTTGAAATTTCCTATAAGATATAAATACCTATATACTAGATTTTCTTTAAAAAGGTTTAAAATTTCTTTGAGTTTTACCCCCATAATTGTTATTGTCTGTCATGGGTAAGCATGTACTTTGGTATCATTATTAGTTTGAGGATCAGCAAATGGTTACAACACAATTAAATGCCTTTTGATAGGAAGCATATAATTTCACAATCACAAAATTTGTTTGAATCATAAAAAGCTATTTTATTATGCAAAATAAATATGAAAATGACAATTATGATTTGTTTAGGATACTAGTAGATAATAAAATTTTTAAAAACTGAAGGTCCTCATTTAGTAGTTTGAGATAAAACCTTTGGCCAGAAATCAATTTGCTTCAATGTGTCATTCATAAGCCATAACCATTGCTTGTCTTATCTTTTTTTCTGTATTTTAAAACAATTTCTTCTGTATGTATTAAGGATATTAATAGAAGAAATGTCTCTGTATAATTCATTTTCATGTATAATTTGATTTTATATTTGTAAATAGCATTTATTCATAACATGAGAAGTGGGGAAAGGTATTACATGGCTTATGCATGTGACATATAAAGGTTACTTTTTTGTTATCAGTAGTATATTTGCCCTTATGTTGATGGTTGATCCATATTTAACCTAAGCCCTTTCATGTCTAGGGCTATTCTCTAATAGCTTACTTTTAGTAGTAATTTGGTGCATCTAGGAAATTTAATCATCGTTGTCTTGATGCAGGTATCATAATTTTTAATGCTCAAGTTTCAAATTTTATCTAGTATAGACAGTTAGAATGGATTTTTTTTTCTAGCACCTCAGATATGTTTTCACATTTTGAAATCAGTAATTCATGAATTAATACTGCTCTGCAGAAAGTAACCCATTTAAGTTGAATAGTGGTTACATATTTTTATCCACATACATTAGTGGTTCTATATTTTGCCTAGTTTTAATGATTTTCCTTGGCCTTTTAGTTTCATAATTACTGAAAATTCAGTTTTTTGTGAATTCAGTTATGTATGTATGTATAAATAATGGTCAAAACAACCCCTTTAAGGGGAGGTAAAAACAAAGTCCCAAGGGTTTAAAAAAAATTCCAAACCTCATATATACATAAATATAAAGAGATTTTTAAAATAAGTTTACTTTTGATGTGGGTAGTAATTGAATGTTATAGCATCTTGTGAATCTGTATCTTAAGAAATAAGACTCTTTTTTGCCCCAAGTTTGAGAACTTGCCAAATTAACCAGGAAAAATTCTGCTATTTACTGTATCAATTAATTATTGAAGTAAATTGTGACCATCATATGGCTTGTTATCCTTAATGATTTGAGTTTTGTCAATCTCATTTCAAGAATCATATTAGTAACCACATATTTCATTTACGCTCAGGTACAGGTTCTGTGTTTTGATTTCTTATTTAGACTTTGTCAGTTAACATCAGCAAGCTTCTAGTTAATGAAAGCATACTGATAATAAAACTTGAATACTGTTAGGATTTAATTCTTAAATTTATTGATCCTCATATTAAAGGCCTTGTGCCTGGTTATTTCTCTTTGTTCTTAAATATGTTTAATGACATTCTGAAAATATACATTTGTTTGGGCAAAAATTCCTGACATGTAAAGTCCATTGTAAATTTCAAATACTCTGATACTACATTCCAACGTTAATCACCTAGGTATTTCATAAGTTAAATTATATTTAGCAATTAACTATGAACTGGCAAAATGTTATTGAAATCTTTTTCTTAAAATTCTGATGTATAATACCAAAATTCCCTCATTTTATTTTTGTACTTTAATCTAAACTGAGTTGTAATATGTACCTTCATCTAAAGAAAAAAATTGCTTATGGATTTCTGAAATATATTGTGCTTTTTGCTGTACCACCATTATTGATTACGGATGTAAGTCAATTAAAAGGTTGTGGAGCAGAGTAAAATATTTCAGCCAAAGAATCTTAAAAAGCAAAATTAAAAAACCCCAAACCTTAATGATAGAAGTTATTGCTAACCCACTAAAATGAGGTCTGCTGTTGACCCACTTTGAAGCTTTTAAATTCGTGAGTCCTCTTGATCTTTCTTGTAAAGTTTTAGATGTACTTAATGGATCGATAGCATCCTGAAAGCCAAATGAATGTCAGTGGAAATTATGTATGCAAATAAAAAAGCAATGGAATTTTTATAAAAGTGACACATTGATACAAAAACAGGCACACGTTCTTAATTGTTAATTTGATGGATGTCAACAAGTTGTTATTTGTCTGTCCCATCTTAATTTTTTGTGTGTTCAAACTGTTGATAACATGTTAAGTACATTCACTCATTTCTTAAAATTGTGTAACTATTTTTATAAAACTATTAGTAGTTTGAGGGCAAGACCTCAAATATTGTAAATTTTGGTATGTAACTGCATTGTGCTTCATTTTTTGTAATTTCTTCATCAATATTCTCAAACCACTCTATGCAAAATATAAGTAGTATAACGCTTGCTTTATATAGTTTTAAAAGAAATGAGTTATTAATAATCTAAGCTTCCCTTTCTTTTCTGGATGTGAATTTGAATTTCCTTTATGTTCATAAAGGAAAGTATGGTGGGTCGTTTAATTTTTTTCTTTTGTCCCTATTCATTTCCCTGGAAATCTCAGAAGTGATTACCTTTATCAGGATGAGAGAGGTTGAACTATTGACATGTTTTCCTTTTGAAAGGTAATTAAAAATAAATTTGATCTGAAATTCTTGTTTAAAAAAAAGTAATAAAACCTGAATGTTTGGTTTGAGTAATTCTCAGCCTTATTATATAGTGTAGTAATTCAGTTAATTTATGCTATATTAATTGGAAATATGGAGTCATTTATTCTAAGCTGGACTGAAGTTTCTATGTTTTATTTGCACTACTTGTGAAAAGCAAGCATGTTATAAATAAGATCATGGGATGTAGCTTATTTTAGACACAAACATGATTTAGCAGTGCTTTTGCTTTCCAACAGTAAAAGTGCTGATAGCAAATCGCACTCTGGCAGGATCTCTTTCTGGTGACATCCTTACCTTATAGAACATCAGATGTTAATTTGGGCTTTATGTACTTTGGAGTAATAAAGTACAACTCTTTATTGACCTGGCAAATTCTGACTGATCTTTGCCTTTCTCATTGCTCCGAATCAGTCTGGTTTTATCTCTAATCATTTCTGTAAATGTAAATGTTAACCTTATAAGCATGTTGTAGGGGACACAGCATTGGACTTTGAGCCACGAAAGGACCTACTACTGCTATGACCTTGAGCAAGGCACTTTAAATCTTGTGGGAGTCTCAGTTTCCTCATGTGTAAAATGAGAGGATTATATTCACTGACCTCTGCGGTGCCTTCTAGTTCTAAATTTATGATCCTAGATTTTTTTGGTTTCCTTATATTTAATTGATCTTTAAAGTTGCTCCTATTCTAGTATTCTGTACATAGCCATCCATGGTTGTGCAAAATTGTGAAGAACATAGCAGTATAATAGAAAACCTAACACCGAGAAAATAGCTATAGAACAAATTTGAATTTTTTTTTTTAAAACCAGGCTTATTGGGTGAGGGGAGACAAGTAAATATTTTCATATCCCTCATAAATGTTAATATTTGGTACTCAACTATTTAAAATTTTATTCAACAAACATTTTTAAACTAATTGCTATATACAAAGCACTCTACTAAACCAGTTTTTCAGCTCTTAAAGGCATTATTAAAAACTGCATAATCTAGGCCTGTGTTTTTTTGTTCTTCCAGTGTTTTACCTTTTATTGCATACTCTTTTGGTTCCCCAGATATTATAAAAGTTCTGAACAATAATAGTAAGAAGTAATAATAACAAAAGTATGTTTATTTGTAATATTTCCTTAAATGTAAGAATTTCTAGATGTCTGTACATTTGTAAAATCATGGTTTGTATGAAGTTGTAAATATTTTGCTTATGGTGGTTTGAGAATAAGTATAATTTTATTTAAAAACTCATTGAATTTCCTGTTTTTATACTATTTATCAGTGACTGTGGGTTGCTGCATCTCCTCACCTTCATTTCAATGTGAAACTTACTTTCACTGTTTAGTTTGTAAAGTAGACTGTAGTTTTGTTTGAATGAATGTTTCAAATTAATATTGAATGATTAGTTAATACTATTCAGAAAACCTAATATTCAGAATAAAAGTTTATGTTTTCATAATCTGAAAGCTTGCCTGAAGGGTTGCACATTTTAAATTTACACAGAGATTCTTAGCTGATTGGGTGGGGAGAGGTTACATGTTATAAGCCTTATTTGGATATTAAAACTGACTTTGAATATAGCTAGACTGCTAAATAATTAGCCTGCTGCCATTGTGAGGCAATTTAGAATATCACCCAGTAACTTCTTTAAAAAAAGACTTTAGTTTAAAGGAGAGGTAAGTACTATTCAAGGGCCCAAAGGGAATAATTTTAAAATTTTTGTGTTTTAATAGTGGGATTTTTTTTCCTTTTGTATACATCTACAATAAACAGAGAATTGTTTGTAATATATATTAGTGCATCAACATGTAGGAATTTAGACCTACATTCCTTTTTTATTTAGGGTGTTAATAACAAAATATAAGTACCCATTGTTTGGTGCCCTCATTCTTTTCTCATAATCCAGGACACTTTTAAGTTAGAGGGAAAAAGAAAAGTTTAGTCATAAAAAGAGAGTTTTGGTTCCACTGAGTTGAACAAAGTCCACCACTAAAGTGCTTTTTGTCTTACCAAAATCTTATTAGCCACGTGAAATTGCCTTATTAGTTTAAATATATCTGATGGATTTGTTGAAATTTTTTTTTTAAATAGAAATTTGCAATTTTTAAAATGAAATTGTTAAATTGTTAAGATTTTGCATTACCAAAAAATGTTATTGAATATTGTTTCTTTGTGCATGGACTTTAATACACTCATTTCCATTTACAAACTTCTCTTATTGATTAATGAATTCCATATTTTCCCCATACCTTTTGTATTATAACTGCTGTCATAATCCTAGCTTTTGTAGGAAAATGACACAGTTATGATGCATAGCATCGTCATTACCGATAAGACAAGATGACATTCCTAGAAGCACGGACATAGAAAATCTTTGGAATTTCTGTGCTCTTTTCTAATTCTTTGTTCATGTAGATGTCTACTTAAGTATTTCTGAAAAGTTGTTGAATGGGTTAATGGAAACATTTGTAATTTACTTTTAAATTTGCTTTCTTCTGAGATACTGTGAAATTTGTATTTCTACGTGACTAATAAATGTATGAAGTGTTTAGAAACAAGGATTAAAAAATATTGGAATGTTCTTCTAATTTATTATGTTCTGTATGATTTTTTTTTAAAGGGTTCAGGTTGGGTTTAAACTTTTTTTTTTACAAGATGATGAATCCACCTTGTTTTATATATAGAAATTTGAACTATGCATTTAAAGATCTTCCCAGAAAAGTTAGGAAATAATGTCATGTTTAAATATTGAACAATATAAAATGCCAATGTATGTGGTAAAGTGTTGTGTGTGTGGAGGGGTACTAAATACATTTCCTCTTCCATGTTATTTTCCCACTCCCCCCCCCAATTGATTCTTGTTATCTAACATGTTGTCAGATCTAAACATTTACCTCTATGCTTTGCATTGCATTTATTTAATACTTTCTCTACCCAAGAATATGCAATGTGAAGGATGAAAAAATACGAGATAAAACTCAAACTACAATTTTGTATTTAATTCATAATTGGTAGCTTATAGGTCTCTCAAAAGTTCTATAATTAGAAATGCAGTAAAACACTAGAAATTCTTTAGTATCTTTTTGCAGAGTGAATATAAAATCTTCAGAAATAGCTCTGAGGACTTGGGAACTGTTTTAGAGAAGAAAATATAGACTTTATCAAGTTCCAACCCCTCTACACACAAACACACATACACTTCTAAAATCAGACTCATCATCATCGTCATCATCATTATCATCAAGTGTTTATTCAGTGCTAGCTCTACGGAACGCACTGGGGAGCCAAAGATGAGATGACAGTCCTTAACTGTAAGATCTTTCAAATTAGTTGGGGAGACATAAAGTAATTAAAAACCCATTTATGAAACTTCTCAATAATTGGCAGGAATTCTTAATCCATTTTGTTTATTAATAGTAGTGAATTTAAATTTTGACTTAAGGAAATCCACACAGTAGAGTATTCAAAAAACAAAGAGTACCTTTATATCATCAAATATACAGTTCCTGTGATTAAAATCCTTAAACTCCCTCATTATTGAAGGAGTCCTTGCAAGAACTTTTGAATGGTCTTTTATGAAATTATCTCTCAAATATCTGGTGTTAAAGCTAAACATTCCTTTGTCACTGGAAAAAATTGCTTTCAGTACTTATGAAGTTGTTGAATGTTTAAACTGTGACCTGAAATATGAAAATTTATGTAATGGATTATTATTATTGACTTTTAAATTTATCAAATTTATGCCATTTACTTGTGAGCTTTTAAAGTCAGTAATTTAAAGTGAACGTTGTAGATTTAAAAGAAATTAAATTTTGTCTTATGCTTAGCCAATAATGCTGGTTTAGCAATTTGTCTGGGTGGAATGGGGTGGAAATTTAAGTAAATGTTTTCCATTTGTATTATGTCTAAAAATTTGTATTTAGATGTCATCATATTTAGTTATATTGCCCATATTGATCTCTACTTATTTACACTTTTTGTAACATGGAGCAGCATATGATTTATAACAATTACAGATATTCCTGTATGTTATTAAATAAATATAACTAATATGTAAAGAATCATTTCATTTTCAGTTCAGCTTTCTAATTGTTAAATGAATTAATTTAGAATTGATATGTAGGTGGATGAAAATATATAGTCAAATCATCCAAGCACGCATTCATTTACTTTTGTAGTATACCTTCTTTAGGAAAAGGTCTAAATGTTTCCATCATCACAGTGAGACAGTAGCTGCTTTGTTATTGGTCCATATATGGTTTTTTTAAGCAACTACCATTTCATTTTGGGGGGAAAGAGAAAGAGTGTGTTGTGGGTGAAAAATGTGAGTGGTGACAAGATTTGTTGATTTGAGTTTCTCTGCCAGTAGACAGAACAGCTACTGTTTCCATAATGCTTATTTTGTGTTAGATTACATGATGGTGAAGTAGATGCACGACTTGTGTCTGTATAGTTAAGCCAACATTTTTTCTGTGTATTATGGGGAATAGCAAAATCTACATCACAAATTTTGACACATTACAGCTGAAGGAAGAGGAACACCTTGCAAGACAAGAAACATTCTTCATGGGGGAAAGTGACGCTTGTCCAGCAGTTTGCTTCTTGTGATTGAACTGAACCTGTAAGGATTCATGGATAAAATGAACAGGAATAGATCTGAATAAAGCAAATCTGCATAAATGGTAACCAGTAGCTCTACTTTTACTTTTTATGTTGCTTAACTGTTTTATTTGAAGGAAACCTGTGTGATTTAAAAGTTATAGCTTTTGCAACTTTATTACTGGTTATATACATTTGGCCATTATAATGTGCAAGCAATTGGAAAAAAAGTCAAGTAAATGCTTGTTTTTATAGTAGTTTGTTCTTGTTAAAATGTTCATATGATAATGTCTGTAAACAGCACCACTTTGATTACAATAGATGTAGTGTTGTAATAAACTGTTTAATGGGGCTGATGTGTAAAGCTGTTCAAGTTATTTGATGTTTACACCTCAGGGAAAGTCTTGTGTTCAGCAATATTTGAAGATAATGTTACTATGACAACATTTATACTGTCCTTTAAAAAAAGCATCGCAATAGTTTTTGGATATGCATCAACCTAATCTTGCGTTCAGTGGATTAAACATACTAATTAAGTGTCTCTTTGCACTTGATTTTGATATTAGAATAGGTGATTACAAGGAGTATTTAATATTTCTATATTCTGCTTTTCTAGCTATTTTTACTTAGATGGCTTGTGAATTTACTAAATGGTATGTAAAATTGTAAAAACTGCAGTTTGACTAACATTGTGATCCACGTAATCCAGTCAACGTTAGGGGTCAAAAATCTATGGGTTCAACATCTTAGTAAAATCTGTATTATCTGCCATGGTATGCCACTTAATTATAACACGAATGTATAAAGGAACATTTAATTGTAAACCATTAGCATTGAAGAAACATCTTGGCAATTGAGGTGCTGCCATTTTGCAGATTTATATTTGAAAAGGTGCTCTTGGTGTATTTTGAAGCCATAGAGAGAATATATACAGCTGTGCACCAGATAAATGTGAGTAAAGAGAGCCTTAGTTTTGATTTTTCAAATAATGTGGATTTTTTTTCATGAGCATAATTTTTTTTAAGGTACTAGATTTTATTCTCATTTATTTCGGTTAATAAGTACATCCTCCCACTGTAAGCAAATATATACGTATGCTTTTTACATTCATGCAGCCTGTTGGTTCATACTGCAAAATTCATCATCTGAAATTTTTGCAGGCCTACCTTAAAAATTTTTTATATGACTCAACAAAGGTATATTTCTAAAACAACTGGCTCTCGTGACCTATCAGATTTGGAAAAAATGGCAAAAAAAAAAGATCTTTGTTCTGCATCAGCTGAATGTCACCTTAATTAGACTTTTGTTTATGGAAGTCAATATAGTATAAATCACTAATGATTCGTCCAGAAATGTGTCTTGTCCTTAAAACTGCCTAAGAGTGTTTGGCTTTTGTTTTTAGCATAAGTTTTTAAGGCCTCAGGGGCTTAATTTAAAAGAGGGACTGTCTCCAATGGCACAGATTTGAGTTAGTTTTTACTAAGAACTTGTGTAATGTGCAGGTGCAAACCACTGGCTTTGATCCTTTAACAAGATCAGATCATTTCCTCCCAAATCGCCTTTTATTTTGGGAATTGTCCATATATTCTTTCCCAGTTTTATTTTAAAATTTTTTTGTGACTGGAATGTTCATGCATGGGATCATTGATGTTTGTCAAAACTTTGCTATCAGAAGTAATTTTTATGTTTCTTTAATTTTGTTTAAAGTGATGCTTCCTTTTAAAAAAATGTTAACTTGGAAGTTGTATTAAGGTTATGTGATTTTTATTTTCCTAGTTTGTGCATAGGGGTTTCAAATAGTTTTGGTGTTGTTTCTTATCTTTGTTAAACTATCATTCAAAATACACAATGGGAATTAATATTGAATATATACCTATTGCAAGAGAGTAGTTGATACTAAAAGGACAACTCACAGGTAAGTTAAAGTGTTCATAAGAATAGAATTTTGTTTTAATGTTAAAATGGAATCATAAAGATCAAAACATTTTAAAGGTATTTACATGGAAACTTACACATATTTTAGTCTTTATCACATATTTGGCAAGAGATCTTTGCTAATGCACTATCAGTTTTCACCCCTACTTTCTCAATACGGCTTTTGTGCTGTGGGCAGAGTGTACCAAATGTTGTTTCAGAATTGCTAATTCATTATCTTAAGTAGTTGTTGCTGGAAAGAAGTCCATTTTGGTTTACAGTTGAACTGTGTCAGTTGACCCTCATTTACTACCTAGTTTGTCATGAATGTATAGGATGAATGAGCTCTCTTTAATGTTCCCTCCGTCTCCCCCTCAATTCTATTTATGGGCTGGTCAAATTATTTCATTAGCTCTAATGTTATTAAAAACTGTTTTCTTGTTTTTGCATATAAAAAGAATCCAAAGAGGGGTCAGCCCTTTTGTAGACACCAAAAAGAAAAATATTCCAGAGCCTTTCATTATTTCTTGATTTATAAGTGTAAAAGAATGTGGTTTCAAGCTTTAGTTTAATTTGAAAATAATAGTGCTTGTTAATCTTAAATAGAATGCTATTGGCCAGTTTCATTACTGTTGTAGCACCTAGGTGGTACCTTATTTGGTATCTGAGCATTATTTGATTAAGTGTGATTTGATTTTCACATTTTTCCCCCCAGTGTCATCAAATTGCAAATGCTTGTTGGCTTGTGGAATTTGGTTAGGTAAAATGTGTCAAAGGGTAACATTCATTTATACTTATATTTTATTGTGTCCCTTTACAAAGGTGGTTCTTAATTAAAATTCTTAGAACCACTCAAAAAAAGATATGTAAAATAGCTAAGATTATTATTTTTAACTAGTCTCCTGTGGAGAATGTTTCTTGTCATTAAAGATCAGTTATTTCTGAATAAATGTGGAGGCTTTAATAGAAAGCTGCACAATCTTTTATCACGAAGGGGTGTTCAAAGGGGAAAGCTTCTCCCCTGTATCCCCTTAAATGTGCCAATAACCTAAAAATAC